ACATATATGATATATAATGATATATTTCAGCAATTCTAGGGCTACATGACATGTGATATCAAAACAGACTGAATGCAAAAGGAGGTAAGAAAATACAGCTGTCTGCTATTAAGCCAGATATTAAAGAGATCTGCAAGAATGCAAAACACTATTAAAATTATAAGTTTTGGTTATTAACATTTATTGTTTTAAAAGTCATTAATATTTAAACAATTTCTCGCTTGATTTCTAATGTGTCAGGTAAAACTAAAATTTTCAACATGTTGTCTTTCCCTTATTATTTGTAATTTTTTATATATTCTGGATATAACTCTTTTGTCGACTGCAGAATATTTTCTCCCACTCTGCAACTTGTCTTTTCCCTCTTTATAGTGTCTTTTGATTAAATGGTAGGTTTTCACTTTAATGTAGCTGAATTTATCAATCTTATGAGGTAAGGTCATGAGATATTCTCCTATGTTGTTTCCAAAGATTTGTAGCTCTTTCATATTTGTATTTAATATGCAGTTTATTTTTGTGTATGATTTGCATAGGATCTAATCTTTCCTATATAGCAAAATCTGCCCCAGCAATATTATAAAAAAGTTCTTCTTTTTCACACAGAGACCAAGTATACATATACACTGGTCTGTTTCTAGACTTTGTATTATGTTCTACAGGTTTCTTTGGTTATCTCTGGGCAAATATCACTCTGCTTTATTTATCATAGCTTTATAACCAGTCTTGAAACCTGGCAGAGCCTGTCTTCCCACCTTGTTACTCTCTTCAAGAGTTTCTCGGCTTTTTCTTTGTGGGGGAAGAAGAGGAGGGAGTTCTCTGTACTTCCATACAAAATTCAAAATCAGTTTGTACTTTAGTTGCCCCCACTGCAAGCTGAGATCACTCCACTGCGGCAGTCATCACATTACTGGTCCACACCTATTCATCCTGTGTCCAGGCTACACAGTGTGTTATTTGTTGTCTAAACCTCAGATCATTAACAGTGTGAAGCACTTAGTAAATACACAACATGTGTTCCAGGAATGAATATATTGTACAAAAGTAAATAATAAAATGGGAGGGAAACCATTAAGATCTTAAGATTGCATTGGACTTATAAATCAGTTTGGGAAGAAATGATATCATTAAATAGCGAATCTTCCCTATCCACGAATTATTTGTTTCAGCCTTCCATACTGTTTCTCAATTATGTTTTATAATTTTTTCAATAGCAATCTTATACATTTTTTGTTAAGATTTCTAAATATAGCTGATTCTTGTTAATTGCAGATTTTGTATTTGCAAATTCACCCATGAGTTAAAATTTATTTGTAACCCTAAAATTTGGTTCTCAGATGTATTTTGATTGGCTAGCAATAAATTTTTTAGAATATGAGTCAGTTTCACACATTTAAAATTTGGGAAACTTCATATAGGAATCTAGATTTTGACCTAGCTTAAAAATGACAAAGTTTTTTGGAAAGTCTGACAACATATGTTAACACTGAAGTTCTGTTTCTTTACGGCCATATGCTAGAGCTGAGTGGCTGCTGTTCCTTTCAGATGGATTTTTCCTTAAAATCAACTCACTTCACTCACCTAGGTTACCTGCCTGGAATTTATAAACATTTGCCTCTCCTAAATTAAAGCAATTAAAATGATAGCCTTAAATTAAGAGAAATTAATTTGCCAAAAGGCAGAAATGAGTCTAAAGTGGAACTGTGAACAGAAATTTAAAAGGGGGTAATGATGGTTAGGATGCGCTTGTTTCTGGAATACTAAAGCTCATATCCTAAAGTCCTCTTATTTATCATATACTTTACCTCAGATGGTAAAGAACCTGCCTGCAATGCAGGAGACTTGGGTTTGACCCCTGGATCTGGAAGATCCCCTGGAGAAGGGAATGGCTACCAACTCCAGTATTCGTGTCTGGAGAATTTCATGGACAGAGGGCCTGGCAGGCCACAGTCCACTGAGGTGCAAAGAGTCGTACAAGACTGTGTGACTAACACCATATTACAATTAATTTCTTTATAAGTGAGAATATATTCTGTTTCACTCATAACAGTCTTCTACTCCTGATTCTATTACTGTTTTGTATACAAATAAATGACGGGAGCTCTGACTTCAATGTTCTTATAAACAATCATCCTGGATATTTTATCCTTCTACATTAAATACTGTTGAGATTCTGACTGAGACTACAATGAATTTTTAGTCTACATTTTGGGAAATAACAATACCAGATCTTTCCCTTCAAAATTATATATCTATCACTTCATTTACACACATTTTCTTTAAATATCCTTTAGCAAAGTTCAAAAATTCTTCTCTGTAAAAGCTTTACATACTTATGTTATTTTTGGGTAAGGTTTCCTTTACTTGGGGGACAGGAGGCATTACTTTTTGTTGCAAAAAGAATCTTTTCTCCTAATTACATTAAAAAAAAATCACAATTTAACCATTTGTTTCCAACTTCAATAAATTCTGCAATGTACATCCTTTGAAGACAATCTTTGCATTTGGGATTTTCTTCTTCAAGGTAGATCTCTATTAGTGACATTCCTGGATCAAAGAGGATGGAGAGTTTAAAGGTTCTCAATCCCTCGAGAATTTCTAGAGGACAGATCATTTAAAGCTTTTCAACAAATTCTGCCAGATCACTTTCAAGATAGGTTCTAATTCATACTCTCACCAGCAGTACAGAAATGCCTGGCTTCCATTAGTAAAAAGAACTCTGCTCTTTTGATTAATGTGAAAAGTTGCATTTAAAGTTCTATTTCTTTGTATAGTTGAGTTGAAGATTCTTTCTTTTCTTAATTTATATGTCTTCTGCCTGTCCCCATTCTTTGCTCATTTCTCTATCAGGATGTTAAGTGTTTTGTCCTTGGAATGTTTAGTTTTTACAATACAAAAATACTTCAAACAAACAAACAGCTGGTTGCTAGTCCATGACTACTCAACACTGGCAGAGGCCCACAAAGGTGCACTGGGCCTACCAACAAACTTACAGGGAGAAGTCGGCCTTTATGCTTCATGGCAGAAGCAAGCCTCCCATAAATCCCCTAATTACATTTTTAATTGGTTACTATTAACATACATAGGAAATCTATCGCTTTTCTATGCTGAACTTGAATCTGGCTATTTAACTGAACTCTCTTCATTGATTATATGTAGGCCAAGAGTCTGCAAACTACAAACCTCAGGCCAAATCTGGTCTGCTGCCTGTTTTGTAAATAAAGTTTTACTGGAACACAGCCATAACCATTTGCTTACGTATTGTCTATGGCAGGTTTCATGATAGAACAGCAGAGTTGAGTAGTGGCAACAGAGATCCTGTGGCCTGCAAAGACTAAAATACTATCTGGTCTTTTACAGAAAAAGGTTGCCCACCCCTGATATAGGTAATCTTATTACCTGCCAATAATGATAATTCTATCTCTTCTAAATGCATTCTTCTTCTTATTTAGAAATAAAAGGAATATCAACATAATGGTGAACAGTAACGATGAACAAGGGCATCGCTGTCCTGAAATGCTTTTAGTGTTTCACCATTAAGTGATTTTATTACAGGTTTCTGAAGATAACCTCCATTGAGTTGAAAACATTTCTGGAGCTTAAAATTTTATTTTAAAGGACTGTACTTTATTCTGAGATTATCCCATTCCTACATTTTTCTGTAAAATAGTAACACAAAGTAGTTGTTCTTAAAAACATCTTTACATGGTAAAACAAAAGCTGGCAACCCTATAGTAATCCATGAACTAGGTCATGAAACCTAAATCTAAGAAACACCAGGTTAAGTTTTCCAGACTACAATGATGTTTAGAGCAGAAACTGTAAATGGAGATCATTTAGCACACTGCTTTTCTTACTCAAAATTATACTGAATTTATAAACGTAAAGAGGCGGCACAGAAGGTAAGCTCTGGGGTCCAGACAGGCTTGGGGAGGAATTCTGCCAAATACCACTACCCCCTCCCCGCCCCCCACAGCTGTGAGAGCTTAGGCAAGCTACGTAATCTTTCTAAGTCAGTTTCCTTCTCCTTAAAATGGGGACAATAGTAGTAGCCACTTTAAATGTTGTTCTCAGGATTAAACAACCTGAAGTACACAAAGCACTATGTATAAGTATCTGGTCAATTATGAATGTTCAATAAATGTAGGTGCTATTACTGTTATTACTTTATGTTCTTCTGACATGTGTATAAATCTTTATTACTTAGTACCTCAAAGTAAGACCACATCTTAATCTTTTGTGATACCAAAGTAGACCATCTCAAGTTTACGATCCAATTGCAGGGACAAGGATCATTCTGTTGTGACTGGGTTAATACTAAGAAATGGATCAATAAAACAGAATACTCATATATTCATACAATCATAACAAGTATATAATTTGAGGAAGTATCTGGCTATTTCATTTTTCCACATAACTGTTTATCCTTCAATTGTGTATCTATGTGTGTGCTTCTTGCACCAAGCAAACGACTTACAAATATGCAAGAAACACAGGAAAACACTATTAATACAGGACAAGTAAGATCAAATACCAGTGTTCCAGCACTTTGGAAAATGCTGGATACAATTTTGCTAAGAATGGAGTCAATTAATATGGAGTTAGGAGTAAATATTTTCATTTTTCCTAATTACACAGATTTCATGAAGGGGGCAAGATTTCAGAAAGACTGTAAGAAAAATGGAAATATGTAAACATCACAAAACAGAAGAAACAGAAAGAAGTACAGTCAGAGAGTATGACCAGGATATACATTCTCCTGGTCAAATAAGGAGAAAACAAGCAGAGCACAGATAACAGACAAGTTTTCAAAAAGGGAAGAAAAAGTCTTTAAAAGAAAAATACGTGTATTACCAAAAAAGTTATAATGAACAATACAGACAAAATACCCTTGGATCTTCAAGCATGTGCAACTTTCATAATTCTTACTAATGGGTAGGATGGGAAATTAAAATTCTAAATTTTTTAAGCTTAGATCCAAAGAAGAGTGAGAATTTACTTACTTCACTAGAGCAGCTGCTTCAGGAAGTACGTCAGCAAATGATTCACGGAATATGATTGCGTTTTTCCTTTTACAGTTCTGTATGACATCATTGGCAAGGTAAAAGAGATTCAAACGGTGGGGATAGGCAGCTGGAGATGAGAAAAGACAATAAATAAAACCAAATGAGTCAAGTTATACTTAGTGAAACTTACTCCAAATACAGACAGACAAACGAACTAACGGATCAATTTACTGCTCCCTGGTGGCTTAGAGGGTAAAGCGTCTGTCTGTAACGCAGCAGATCCCTGGGTTGGGAAGATCCCCTGGAGAAGGAAATGGCAACCCACTCCAGTACTCTTGCCTGGAAAATCCCATGGACAGAGGAGCCTTGTAGGCTACAGTCCATTGGGTCACAAAGAGTGGGACACGACTGAGCGACGACAATGCCTAAAAACCTTGACTGCTTCAGGTTAAGTTTCTGTTCAAAGTGTTCCTTTGAGCAGATTTCCACTTTACTTTGCATTATGTTTGGCACTAAAAAACACATTAACTTTGGAGAAGCTAAAATAAAACAAAACTGTTCTTCCAAACATCTGGGAAGATTACAAATTGAGTTGAAGTAGTTCAATTTGTTGCAAAAACACCAGGGTTAGTGGAAGGAGTGTGAACCCAACCAGAACGTGACCGTAGACAAACTGCTTAGCCTCCTTTCCAGTATTATTGTAGACAGACCCTCTCCACCTTCCCATCTGCGGGAAGAGAGGCTCTGCTGCCACTTTCACCTCCAGGTGAGTGTCCTGGGAAACGAGGAATTTGAGCCCACAAACAGACCTCAGTCAATCTTTTTTTAAAGGTCCAAGGCAAGGCCTAATTTATTTACTATCTAGAACCTTGAGCCAAGCAAACCCAAGTTTTATTATTATCCTGAACAATCTTAATGTCCACATGGATGATTCATCACATTTTCTAGTTTCAACCTCAAATTCAGTGACCTCCAAGAACAACTTCTTCCTACACTTTCAAATCACCCTTTCTGACCACAACCACCCACTTTGTTGTATCTGTCCTTCAATTTCATCAAGGTCTCATCTCTTTATTTTCGCTTAACTCATGTACAGTCTCTTCTAGTACTCAATTCTTCCTCTACCAATTCCACAGTCTTTTTGATCCATTATCTAAACCATTCATATTAAAACCTTCATATGCTTTTCATTCTCCCTACAGTTTATAGCCTACCGCATGTATTCAAAAAAATCCTAAATCTGGATCAATCCAACTGAATGCCTTTATTGCACCTATACTTCTGTCCCTGGGTTCTGCTGAAAAAAATCACACCAACAGTATTGAAACGATTCAGTCTCCTCCTCACTGGGCCTTCCTTCCACGTGTCTTTAATTAGCATCTTCTCTAATTTGCTGTTAGACCTATTTCGAACTTTTACCACTTTTGTGATGCACCCTTACCACATTCTTTCTCACTCTTAGGAGATAAGCTTAATATCCTATTTCACAGAGAAGCAGAAATCATTAGATGGAACTTATGTTCTCTCAAAAAATGTATCCATGGGGATTTCCCTTGTGGTCCAGTGGCTGGGAGTCTACATTTTCAACATAGGGGGCACAGGTTTGATCCCTGGTCAGGGAACTACAAGTCCATACGCCATGGGGCTCCGACAAAAAAAAAAAAAGTACCCATATTTAAACCAATCCAAATCAACTTACCTGAGTCGGTTAAGATCTTTCAGATTTAGAGATCTGAAAGAGTATTATATAGTCACTGTCTCCACTTTCATTTCTAGTAATTCCATAATTATAGAATTACTATACTTTTCTGTATTTAAAAAATATGTAATCCACTATATGAGGAGCTTTATATAAAATATGCTATCTCATTTAAGCTGCCATCACTCTTAAAAAATATGTAATCCACTATATGAGGAGCTTTATATAAAATATGCTATCTCATTTAAGCTGCCATCACTCCACTCAAACGGCAGTTACTAAGGTTACCAATAAATTCCAACTTACTAAACCCAAAAGCGAGCTTTTTTTCCCACCTCCAAAAAAAGCTTATTAGCATGATTAAAAACATTTTCTTGAATAATGACAGAATTTCTAAACCTGAAAGAGGATCAATGGCTATACTTTATAACCAGTATTTGCAACTGGAAAGACAGATTTATTGCCCAGTCTTCATTTTATTACAAACAACCCACATTTACTAGTTTTCTGTGAAGTCAAGACTATTGCTTTGGGAATGAGTCCCTACTGCAATTAAGTATAAAAAATATCTTCCATAATCAGACTGTGACCTACATAATTGAGTACAGAGTTGATAAAATCCTCGAAGAGCTGGGTTTTTTGTTTTTTAAAAAAGCAATCCTTTTACACACTACAAGGCAATAATTAGATTTTGGCTTCTAAGAATCCCACATGATATTCAGAATGGCAGTCCCTGAAGGTCCCCTTTCCATATAACTGAACACTCAGACCCTCTTCTGGAGTGTACATTCTTGGGATGGACTCGGAAGACCTCAACATCCACATGTTTACATGGGTTTGAGAACAAAGACAGCATCATTTGGAACACAGTAGTCATTATACATGTCGCCTTCACACGGGTATGGCAGTCTGGTGAAAGCTTCAATAACAAAACCAGCTTTTCTGAAAACTTCAGGCAGACTATTCACTTGTTTTTCCCAGTTCTATCCCTTGATTTTCAAAATTTCCAATAGTTTATCCCATTTGCCACCTACGTTATCCATATAGGGATGAAAAGGTAAGACCAAAGAAAGGATGACCCTGCCTCTGGTTGGCTCCAAGACACTTCTGATATCTTTTTAACAAAGTCAGAGGCTGATCACAATGGTCCAGCAAGTTCAAGTAGCTGATGACATCATACTAGAACCCTGTCTTCTGCCATTCATTTATACCAAGCACTCTGTATTTCTTCTTCTGTAGCTGCCATGTCATAGTTTCAGACAGCTCAGTGGCATAAATTTCTTCAAAATGAGGGCTCATGATTTTTGTGACCTCTCCATCTCCAGCACCTAAATCAAGAAGTCTATGGGTTTTCCAGTCCAGGTTAATATTAAGCAGTCTCTGAAACTGACCTGGTGAAAACACAAACATTGAGCCTCTTCTTAGCAACCCGTTGATAGACGGTCTAGACATAATCAGGCTGAAAACAGGTGAAGGAGAGATGTAATTGGATAAATAGCCAGCCCGATTTCTCAATGTTATTGTTTTAGATCTGTGTTCTTTGATCAAGGTAACTCTGAACAAAGACAGCCTGGAGTGACTTGCATAACCTCTCTGTCGCACACATCCCACTGGTGGTTCTCCTTCCTTCCGCTCGCAGGCGTCCCGGCCACTCATCAAGTTGTTCACTTACAGGGAGTGGGTCAGCGGGTTCCACAGGGTCCACATCCTTCGCACCAGCTACACGGACGCCAGCCTTAGGCACAGTCAGCCGGCGAGCAGCTTCATCCGGGGCCGTGGCCGCTCGCTCTAATCACCGCCGGGCGAGGAGGACTCGCCGCCGCCTCCAGCTCATGCCGCCGCGGCCGCCCAGGCTCAAGCCATTGCACCCAACTCGCCCCTCCAGCCCCTTCAGGGCCGAGGCAGGGGGTCAAGGCGAGTTTTTTCTAAATGCTATTTCTACAGAGAGGTATCATTTCCACCAAACTTTTGGTACACAGAATAATCTAATAAACCCTCTTTTGGTCTGTCTTAATCGCTCTCTTAGTTCTCCTCTGACGTCTCTAGCTACTCCTCCACATATATACATAGGCAGGCATGTATAGTTACAGGCAGCTCTACCTGTAATCCTCTTCCTTTAAATGCTGATGCTTCCCAAGGTTCTCTCCTGAGCACTCTTCTTGATTCGTCGGTAGCATAGTGTTTTCAGATTTCAGGTTTGATAAGTCTGTTCCATTCCTGGCTTTGTCACTTAACAGCTTTAGGGCTTATACATTACCTAACTCTTCTGTATGTTACCTTTTTTCCTTTCAGAAATGACAACTTCATGAGTTGTTAAAAGAATTAAATAATAAGACAATGTACGTAAACCATTTAGAATAGCACTCAGTCAACAGATAATGGAATGCTATCAGCAGAACTATCCACATTTAACTACTACCACCTGAGTATCAATGACTCCAGCATCCATAGATTTCACGTCTGGATTTCTCTTTACCAGTTAACACATACATCTACTTCAACATCTCAGAGGCACCCTGAACCTGATTTCTCAATATCTTATTAATAATCTTCCTTCTCCTCCATCTGTTACTGCTCTTATATTTAGCCAAAATTTCAGCAGTCTTTTCTGGCTCTTCTTTCTCCCTACCTAATCCTTGCAGATTTTGATAAATCTGCAAGTCCAACCAATTTTGTCTCCAATATATGCCAAATTTATTTCCTCTTTTCCTTTTCTTCCTACCATTGTTCTTTGCTGGGTTATCACTTTTGACCTGGACAACTACTGCAATAATCTCTTAACTGTTTATCTTGCCTGGGACCTGATCTTTTCAAATTTATTCTATACATTGTTGGCCAAATTCATCTTCTAATATGTAAACATTATCCAATTATGTCTCATATGAAATCTGTCAATGATTTCCAACTGCTTATTAGAAAATGTCCAAACACCTTCAGTTCAGTTGCTCAGTTGTGTCTGACTCTTTTCGATCCCATGGATTGCAGCATGCCAGGCTTCCCTGTCCATCACCCAATTGCTGGAGCTTACTCAAACTCTGTCCATCAAGGTGGTGATGCCATCCAACCATCTCATCTTCTGTCGTCCCCTTCCCCTCCCACCTTCAATCTTTCCCAGTATCAGGGTCTTTTCCAATGAGTCAGTTCTTTGCAACAGGTGACCAAAGTATTGGAGTTTCAGCTTCAGCATCAGTCCTTCCAATGAATATTCAGGACTGATTTCCTTTAGGATGTATTAAAGGAACCTTTAGGTTGGATCTCCTTGCAGTCCAAGGGACTCTCAAGAGTCTTCTCCAACACCACAGTTCAAAAGCATCAATTCTTCGGTGCTCAGCTTTCTTTACAGTCCAACTCTCACATCATTACATGACTACTGGAAAAACCATAGATGACTAGACGGACCTTTGTTGGCAAAATAATGCCTCTGCTTT